AAAAAATAAATTTAAAAAATGACAACTAAATATCAACACATTATTATTATTATTATTATTTTGAACAAACGGAAATTAGTTGCATATTTAAATAATTAGGAAATAAAAAAAATTATATTTGTGAGATTGAATCCAGTAACTTATTGTTAATCCGAGCGGTAGGAATTCGGTTCTCCTTAAATAAAATTTTAAATTTGAATTTTGTAAATGGAGAAATAAGTGTTAAGAGAGTTTTTTTTAGTATAACTCCACGCGATTCGATTTTAAATTAATCAAAATTTAATATAATTATTAGATATTAAGAGGTTAATAAAATAAAAAATAAAATAAAATAAAAGACAAAGTAACCCATATGAGATGATCCGCACTAACCCAATCAACACTTTATCTATTCGAAATTTGGATAAAATAAAAATAAGTGTGAAATCCTAAAAAGGAAAATCACAACTAAATCTGAACTTTTAATTTATTAAGATAAAAATTAAGTGGTGTTATTGAGATAATTTTTTTATTTTATTTTTTTATATAATTTTTATATGTCATTAAATGAATAAATGTATTTAATTTATAAATTTTATATGAATTAAAAAAATTAATTATTTTAATAATACATCAAATTATATAAAAAAATTATATAAAAAACATTTTTCATAAAAATTTAAAAATTTAAGTATCACGTCAACAAGGCATAAACTTACTTTTAACCTTTTATTTTGATAAATTTACAATTTTTAACCTCTCATCTCATACTATAACATTTTAAATTTCTCACCTATAAAAAGTAAAGGAAAAAGACCTTATTAAAATGTAATGTTAGCTAACTGGTAGTATTTCATTAAAAAAAATATAAAATTTAAATTCAATTTGATTTGTTAGTTTCGTTGACGAAATATTAATACTTAGTTAATAGAATTAACAATCATCTAATAAAATTAATATTTAATTAATAAAATTAATAAAATATTATAATCTAATATTAAAAAGTAATTATTTTATCTTTTATTTGTATAAGTGAATGATTAAAAATATTATAGTATAAAGTAATAAATTAAAACTACACACTTATTAAGGTAAAAAAAGCTAAAATTACGTTTTTGCCTCAAGCGGCCATAAACATATCCTTCGGCGGTCATTACTCATTAGTGAGCAAGACACCATTTTTAAGAAAGATCCTCTTGAGAAAAGAGGGAGAGAGAGGATGGCGAAGGGCATAGCTGAAGTGGGTGTTGAAGAATTGGCTAAGGCTGGAGGTTTAAGCGCAGAAGAGGCTAAGGAAATCCATAAAGTTATCAGACAAGCCATAGCAGCAGCAGAAGTCAAAGGATCCGACCCAAGAGAGGTGTGGCGGCAACTGGTGGCCAGGAGAGTGCTAAAGCCATGGCACCCACACTTGCTGCATCAGCTCGTCTACTACTCTGTCTATGCCCATTGGGATTCCTCCACTAATGGCCCTCCCCTTTACTGGTTCCCTTCCCTGTAAGTCGTTTCCGTTTCTTTCATTCTGTTATTTGCATTAATTTACATCCACCACCACCCCTTCCCCCGGGGCCCTTTTTTTTGTATATAATTTTTTTCTTTTTGCTGTTTCAAATCTTATCTTTCCCAACATTATCTAGACTAACAGGAATTTAGTTGACGGAGTTTGTATGCAGTAGCTTATTGGATTATCTCGTATGTATCTGCAAAAGGAAAGGAGGTGAATTCACCTTCTCTGTTAGTGTGGTGAAAATTGATGCAACTCTATTTTCTTCTTTGTTTCTTGGAGTGATCTAATTACTGTACTTTGGAAGTCAGACCATGCGAATGTCTATGAAATCTGTGCTGTTTAGCAGTGAAAAAAAATATTTTATAGCTTTGCATTGCATGGTCACTTTATGAGTCAATTTTATTATCTCTTTTTCTAGTTGATTAAAATCTGTTCCTTGTCCAGATATCAATCTAAACTTACAAATATCGGACGTGTAATGGAAACTTATGGTCCAAAGCTTTTAGGGACTTCGTACAAGGACCCAATTGCAAGTTTTAAAATCTTTAGGAAATTCTCTGTTGAACATCCTGAGGTAGGTATTAATTTCTTTTACTTGACCTTTTCATTTGAATGCTAAGCTTAATGCAGGAACATAAGTTTACAGGGATTTCTGTTCATTCTGAGATTGAAACTTCAAATTTATTTTTTAGGCTTATTGGTCGGTTATGCTAAAAGAGCTATCAATTGTGTTTCGGGAAGCTCCAAAATGCATCCTAGATACCTCAGACAAGTCAAAACCCGGGGGTCGATGGCTTCCAGGTTCAGTTTTGAATATTGCTGAATGTTGTTTATTACCCTCAAGTCATCCAAGAAAAGAGGATGATGATTGTGCTGTTGTATGGAGAGATGAATGGTGTGACAACTCTGAAGTGAGCCGCATGACATTAAAAGAATTCCGACAACAAGTAATGTATGCTTTTTGTATATAATTCTATTTCTTCCATTGTTCCTGTTCTACAATATTCTTTTTGTTTTTGTACTTTAATTCTATTTCTTTGTTTCACCCTTAATTGATCTGCTTGAAATATTATTTTACAGACTGGTGGCAAATGCACTAGAGGCAACATTTTTGAGGGGTGATTCAATTGCAATTGACATGCCAATGACAGTCAATGCAGTGATCATATTCTTGGCTATTATATTAGCTGGATTTGTTGTGGTATCAATAGCTGATAGTTTTGCAGCTAAGGAAATAGCAACACGTCTACGAGTCTCTAATGCAAAGGCTATCTTCACTCAGGTTCACTTACACTTCTAGGGGTTATCTATTTCATGAAAGATATGGAAAATGTGAAGCATATAAAGTAAAGTTCAAAAATTTTCAGTTGATGAAAAATTCACCTGATACGCAAAACAGTTGTAGGAATTTAGCATCTTTACTATGAAATTCCTCTCTGGGTTTTTATTCAAATGAGTTGAAAGGCTAGATGTTCTTTTTCTGCAACACCTTTCACTCTTATTATGTTATGTTGTTGATTAATGCACTCCCTAAACCACTCTATGCTTTTAGTTTTGTCCCCTTATGTTGCATCCCAGATTGCTTCTGCTGTCTTAGTGGTTATGGCTAAATATTTGCTATAGTAATTAATGAAGGAACCATGAAGGAAAGTGCTGCAGCTGTGCTAGTACCCTGTGACTAGCAACTTTATAGTTTCCTAGTTGGCTTTTTTTCCCCCCTTAAAATTACTGACAGATACCTAAAACTGTACCCAGGATTTTATACTAAGAGGAGGTCAGAAGGTTCCTTTATACAGGTAATAATCACCTTTTCATATGCATACTAAATGCAAAATTTTCTGCATATAAAATCTTTTTTGTTGTTCTATGCTTTTTATGTTTCTAAATCAGTCAAAAATGACCCTTGGAACTTGAAGAGGCTTCATTATGAGGTCAGGTTAGAATGGTCTCTAAAGTTACATATATTTTTTTCTTAATAAGATTTGATTTTCATTTCCCCAAATCAAAACCCTGTTGGTTTTCTCAAAAATCCTGCACAACTTCATTTGCATTTGCACAAATGCTATGCTAGGAAAGAAATTACACCTAACTGTTAATCACTCCTTCTCACTCTTAAATTTTTAAAAACATTGGCATTATGGATATTTTTCATTTTTATGCAGTCGAGTTGTTGAAGCTGCGCCACATAAAGCAATCGTTCTCCCTGTAAGTGGGAATGATTTAGGCATCAAATTAAGAGAACAGGATATATCATGGAGAGATTTCCTATCCAATGTCAACCAACATCCAAGGTAATTAGTTTAAAAACAATTCACCATATATATCACTCAATGAAGTACCTGAGGACATTTTTCTTTTCTCAAAAATCTATACCGTATTTCCATGAAAGTATCTAATGGAAATCTTTGCAGACCAACATATTACTCTCCAGTTTATCAGCCAGTTGACTCCACAATAAATATACTCTTTTCATCCGGAACTACAGGTATTGAAGTGTTTTTACGTACACTACAGCCATATTTTTAGCTGAACTTGAAATTCTTTTTACTGGGAAATTCTGATTTTTGTATTGCCTCCCTCAGGAGATCCAAAAGCTATTCCATGGACACAACTTTCCCCAATTCGCAGTGCTTCCGAGACATGGGCTCACCTCAACGTTGGGGTTGGAGATATTTACTGCTGGCCCACAAATCTAGGATGGGTGATGGGACCTTCTGTACTTTTCTCATGCTTTTTGACTGGTGCAACACTTGCTCTCTACCATGGTTCTCCTCTAGGCCACGGTTTTGGAAAATTTGTTCAGGTAACAACCCACGCCATTTCTTCTCTATAAATTAGATTTTCAGCAATTAGTGCTTGTTCTACTTATAGAAACGTTATTTGCAGCAAGCAGGCCTTACCTTTTTCTTCTTCCATTTTATCTGCTCAGGATGCTGGAGTGACAGTTTTGGGTACAGTTCCAAGCTTAGTAAAAACTTGGAAGAATACAAACTGTATGGAAGGCTTGGACTGGTCAAAGATAAAGTAACATTCTTTTGAAGTTCAAGTATAGAATATTAATTGCCGTTTGTTTCTAGAACAAGGACTTAAAAAACATACATTTGCAGATCCTTTGCCAGCACTGGAGAAGCCTCTAGTGTTGATGATGACCTCTGGCTTTCTTCAAAATCTTATTATAAGCCCATTATTGAATTTTGTGGAGGCTCAGAACTTGCATCATGCTACATCCAAGGGAATCTGCTGGAGCCACAGGCTTTTGGAGCATTTAGTGGTCCATCATTGACAGCAGGATTGGTTATCCTTGATGAACATGGAGTACCATATGTAAGAACATTTTCTGGCAGTTTTGGTTTGGTGTCAAAAGTACTTCATAGTTTATACTGTATTTGAAATGATTTGTTTCTAGTTGATGGGTGGCTGGAGGATGATTTGCATCATTTTAAACTTATAGTTGTTTACCTAAACGCACTGGGTTTATTTGAGCTTTGTGACAGCCAGATGATCAAGCTTGTGTTGGTGAAGTGGGTTTATTCCCTCTGCACCTGGGAGCAACCGAAAGATTGCTTAATGCTGATCATGAGGAAGTTTATTACAAGGGAATGCCAATGTACAAAGGAATGGTAAGGTCTTGTCCTATTTGGAGTAGTTGTACTGAAGATATTTGTTTGCATAGTTTTGTAGGCTGTAATGCTGTGCATGGCATGTAACTTCTGATGCCAGATACAAATGCAAAGTAGCTTACTTAACCTGAAACATTAGCATGTATTTAGGTGTTTTAGAACCCATGGATTCACTAACTAATAGCAGTAGGGAAAGTATCTAAAAACATGATCGCCACATAATTGTGGTGGAAGATAAGATTAGAAGTGGTGTTTTAGGCACTTTCTCATGACTTTCAATTGAAATTTGCATTAACAGCGCCTCAGGAGGCATGGGGATGTTGTTAAGAGAACAGTTGGGGGCTATTATATAGTCCAAGGCAGGGCTGATGATACTATGAATCTAGGAGGCATTAAGGTAAGGCTTTCCAAAATATTCCATTACCATCTTTTAATTTAGCAGGTTTATACTAGTTTTAATATCTTGAAGCTGAAACTACTTCCCCATATGCAGACGAGTTCTGTTGAAATTGAGCGCGTATGTGACCAAGCTGATGAAAGCATCCTGGAGACAGCTGCAATCAGTGCAGCACCACCAGGTGGTGGCCCAGAAATGTTGGCAATATTTGTGGTGCTAAAGAAAGGATTTGATCACCAACCAGATAAGTTGAAAATAATGTTCTCAAAAGCCATTCAAAGGAACCTCAACCCTTTATTTAAGGTTTGGTGTTGGAATTCTTTTTTTCATTTGACCACAGTCTACAGGTCAGTTTATTTTGTTTCTCATAAGATTTCTGTTTCCTACTTTTGGCTGGTGTTTCCCAGGTGAGTTATGTTAAGATAGTCCCAGAATTTCCCAGAACTGCTTCAAACAAACTATTGAGAAGAGTTTTGAGGGATCAAGTGAAGCAAGAACTCTCAGTTCAAAGTCGAATTTAATGCCAACCTTAGCTGTTCCTTAAAGCTGTATGTTTGTTTATGTTTGAATTTTACCTAAAACTTGCGGCCTCAACCGTCTTTTCTCTATTGAGAAAGAGATGGTTTTCCCCTGCATACTGTCTTGTGATCCAAGAAAGCTTGTGTTGTACTGTTATAATAATAACATATCCGATATATTACCTTTTGATGAATCTTATAAAAGGACGGTACAAGCAGCACAATTTTACCCATCAAAATATTTGTAAAAATTCAGCATCCTCTACGTTTCAAAGCCCTAAAATAAATAATCTCTTGGAATGGAGACCTATCTGACAGAGTACAGCTCTGATTACATTGTACGTTGTCAAAATTCGGGCTTCA